ATTTACAAGTTGCCTTTGTGAGTGGGATGTAATTAGCCTGGGCCAGGAGACTTGAACTCATTTATAGAATCTAGGTCAACCATATCACTTTACAGGTCAGGAAGCTACGGTCCCTGAGATGGAGTAGATTTCCTAATGTCATATAGGTAAGTAGTTGAAAAACTAGGACTTGAATCTAGATCTTTTGATCTCCAGCCAGTGTTCTTTCCATAATACTACACCCTGAGTTCATTCATATCAAGGTCCGTAACTTTTACTGTTTGGTAATCACTGAGTATAGTTTTAACTCCGAGGGGGAGACACTGCAAGTATATACTGTTCTGTGTGGTCATGTGGGTTCTGATTGCATTGGGTCAGTGCAAATAAATGACTTCCACTGGAGGAATTTATCAGCTCATTTCTTATGTGTTGTGCCTAAAGAATAGCACATTAAGAATCAATATAAATTTTCTTTAAATACATTCCTGCTGTTAGAAAGTGCATTTATCCTGATTCTGTTACAATCTATTTAATTCCATCCATTCTGAACTGACTATAGTGGCTTTCTATTTAGGCCAGGGGAGTCTCTGCCAGTTAAGTTCAATTTTCTGAGGACCGTGACTACCTGTACAGCAGATGCCAGCCATTAATGAGAAAATTTCCTTCTAGCCTTTCTTGCTATTATTAGAATTGTTGTTTTCTTGGTTTGTTATACATATCCTCTAAAAATTAGCTTGTGTAGATCTAGTCTTATAGTGGTAACATGCAAAAGAAGGCATATAATTATCTAAGTGAAATAAAAAAAGTCTTCTATTCATGGGATGGTGTGTGGGCACTCTTGTACTAGTTTTCTTAATACCTCAGGAAGACTAAAGAAAGATTCATGAACTTTCTTAAATTAGAAAGTATGGCCATGAGCTCTTGCCATTGCTAAATTGAGTAGATGACAGTTTCTTTGTACTATTTTATAATCCTCTAGGACTAATTTTTACCATTAGCCTTATGAAGCAGCATGGTAGAGTGGGAAAGAATTTATGCTTTAAATTCAGTTATGCTTTAAATCGAGTTATATTTGGGATCTGCCATTTGCTGCCTGTGTAGTTAAGGCAGAATTATTTAACCTGAGTCCTAATTTCTTCAGCTGTTTGTGAAGATTAGAAATTACATGTGGTGATGCTAGTATATTGTTTAATGTTAGAAATTACACAGTAGTGAAGACCCTACTGTGGTGCTTGTTATTAATAAATAGGTGATGACTCTGTGGTGATGGTTGTGGTTATTATTATATATATGTGCATATTGTTTTTGTTCCTTGTATATTTTAATTTCATCCTTTTGATTTTATATTTTAAAAACCATGTAATTTTAAAATTAAAGATAATTATGGATTGTTTGTCTTTGGCAGAGAGAAATACTGTGTTTTGGGATAACTTGTCTCTAGAAATATTTTAAAGGTTTGCTTCCCAATTTTGAAATCATTAGAAAAAGAATTTTGAATCTTGGAGATCTATACTTTTGTCAGAAATTGGTCCATAGAAGTTTGTGTGGAATTGCTTTTTTCTTTTTTTTTTTTCAAAGATTTTATTTATTTATTTGACAGAGATCACAAGTAGGCAGAGAGGCAGGCAGAGAGAGAGGGGGAAGCAGATTCCCTGCTGAGCAGAGAGCCGGATGTGGGGGCTCGATTCCAGGATCTTGGGATCATGACCTGAGCCCAAGGCAGAGGCTTAACCCACTGACCACCCAGGTGCCCCATGGAATTGCTTTTTAACTCTAAATGTAATCATGGTATATGGGGACATGTATTAGTCTAAGTGAGTATACATCCATAATAGGGATTTTTTTTGGACAGTATTTCAGTATCACTAAATTGTCTTTGCTCTTACCAAACAGTAATTCCAAGTTTAAAGCTAAGTCTTTAACATTAACTTTATGCTTAGTTATCTCTGTCAGGCTTAAATAGTGGTCCATTTTTAGATTTTCCATTGAAGACTGGTATAATGATATTTAATTTTAGCTTTAAGGTAAAAGAACTAAATTGTTTTAAAATAATTGGACATTTTCCAGTTTTTCCAGCTGAATTAGTTATGAAGTGATTAAGTTTGTAGGCTTGTTGTTACGTCACTTGCATCTGTATTCTGTCACTTCCTAGAACAACTCCATAAAAAATACGGAGCAGGTGGCCATTCCCTTTATCACTGAGACCAGAGAAGCACCAGTAGGAAGTTAGTGCAAGTGCTAGGATTAGGAAACCATTCTTCTGAATCAAAGCCAAATATTTTGTTTGCTGAACCATGTGGAATGTTATAGGTGAAAGTATTCTAGTGAGTAAATTGCCATTCATAGATTTCTTGGGGACTGTCTCGCCTAATGTTTAAATCTCTGATCTTAATTTTCTAAACTTTTACATACGGTTATCACAAACACCACAGTAGTGATTTATATTCATTGGTATCTTTCATCTCTCCTCCCTTCAGACCCCCGCCCCCCCGGGTCCATGAACACAGAACACTAGTTTAGGTGATGATAAGAAAAGTTAGTCTCCTACTTAACTTTTCTGATTTCAACTGCCCCCCTTTTAGTCGTCTTATTTAGTTTGTTTCTTTGACATTTATTTAAAAATTGAAGTTAAGCTTTCTGTTTAAAACATACACACACACACACACACACATTGCTTTCATTTGAAGAAATAAAGGAACTTGTCTGAGAAAAATGCAAAAAAGATATGAAAAAAGAGAAATTGTACTGTCATTACTAGTAATGATAGCTATATCATTTATACTTTTTGCATAGGCCAGGCATCCTCCGAAGTATTTTGTATACATGCTTATTTAATCAACTCTGTAAATACTGTTATTCTCATTTTTGTGGTGGGAGATGAAGGATAGGTAACTTGCTAAGTACTTGCTACTTAGAGCTAGTAAGTACAGAGTTGGTGATCAAACCTGAAGGCTGGCCCCGGGTTATACCTCTGATGAAATAGATGATAATGGTTTCCTCTAAGTTGAGAAAGGGCTGAATATGTTCGTACAGGGACACACCATCCTGTTAAGATACGCAGTGTGGGAGGAGGTTATTCGTGTTGGTGGTACTATTAATTGAAAAGCTGTATGGTGGCCCTCATCCATGAGTCTTATATTCGTATTTGTTGGTAATTGTGCATCAAGCATTGTCTCCTAAGAAAATAATCAGGAAAGTATCAATGCTCAAGAGTGTTTACCAGTTATTATTATAATAGTGAACAAAGTGGAAGATTGTTTAGTTGTTATGGGGTAAATTATGTTTTTTTCCAATAAATAATAAATATGCAAACATTAAAAACTTTTTGAAGGATAATATACAAAAATGTTTATAATAATTCAAAAAGCAGGATATGAGACTGTGTAATATGGTTCCAAAGTAAAAATTGTGTATGTACAGAAAAATAGGAAGAACATACATTAAGACACTAATACTTATTTTTGATGTGATTTTGGAAAATATTCCTGGTGTGATTATTTATTTTTGAACTTACTGCATTATCCACATAGTACTTTCATACACAGAGAAAACAAAGTGGCATAAAGGGGAAAGCATAAATGATGCCAGTACTAGCTTTTACTAAGAATATTCATTAGAAATTAGATTTGCATATCTCATAATGTGAAAGGGATAAGTTCCTAAATGCCATATAGTTTTAGTTTGGATGTTATTATTTTTGGAACCATTTTTTTTTTAAAGTGAAGCACTTGTTTAGGATCGAAAAAAATTGATATATATTTTTTCTTGAATGTGTTCATTATAGTGATTGTTTCAGCACTTCAAATTTGTTTCAGTTATGTTAACAGAAGATATTGTTATTTTTCTACCCTGTGGTACTTGTTTTTTGAAAAACAACTATAGACAGAAATTGACTTGATGGGAATGGGGAGGGGAAGATGAGTAAGGATCCAATGCAAGGGACACGTGGACTGTTTTTGTACAGAATTATGTTACGAATCCGTTTTATTGTCCATTTTGACTGCATGGTTATAGTTTACAGCTACTTAAATAAGGAATTCACCTTTTGTTTGTGTTGAAACATCTTTGAATTTTAGTTCTTTAGACCTCTAAGATTTATGAAACTTTAAAATACAAATGTAGGGGCGTCTGGGTGGCTCAGTGGGTTAAGCCTCTGCCTTGGGCTCAGGTCATGATCTCAGGGTCCTGGGATTGAGCCCCGCATCAGGCTCTCAGCTCAGCAAGGAGCCTGCTTCCCCCCATCTCTCTGCCTGCCTCCCTGCTTACTTGTGATCTATGTCTGTCAAATAAATAAATAAAATCTAAAAAAAAAAAAATACAAATGTAGGTAATGGAATAAAGATCCAGGTTTTGCTCTCAGCTGGTTTCGTGTCAGTGTTTTAAAATGTGTTTAGAAAACAAAAGACAAAACTACATTAGGGAATTGTTCTTAGAAGCGAAGTTTCTTTCTGTGTTACATGCTAAAGAACATGCATAAATTGGTGATAACTTTGCATCCATTTCATTAGTAGCTTGCTTTGGTGTTAGTAATAAAGCACTATGGTGTTATGGGCTCACTGCTTTCCTGATTAAAGATGATTCAAACTGTAACTTCTTCATGGAAAGAAATTGAGGAAATCCTTTGAAAGAAATTATTTCACCTTTACAAACTTATTATTTAAACTCTTACTTGATTTCAAAGTATAATTTATGAATCACATACAGAGTAACAAAATTTTTATATGTAAGGACTTTATAGTAAGTTTTTGGTAAAAATGGTTCAACTGGAAATAATCATCATCTGTTTGTTGTAATTTGGTATTTAATATAAAGAGCTGTGTAGAAATCTTGATATGAAGAAGTGATTTTTTTCTCCCTTTAAAAATCAAGGAGGACTGATGAAATTATTCAGTGAGAGAAATTTTATCTGAAGTAATATAGTTATTTTAGCAAATTTTCTTGTCTGAATGGGAGCTTGTTCTTAGTATTCTGTGACTAAGAAGAAATACCAAAACCATTGTAATTTTCTTGTTTTTTTCTAGGCTGAACTCACGGGAATCAAATGGCGTAGGTACAATTTTGGAGGGCACGGGGACTGTGGACCCATAATTTCAGCCCCAGCCCAAGATGATCCAATCCTGTTAAGTTTCATCCGTTGTCTGCAAGCCAACTTGCTGTGTGTATGGCGTCGTGATGTCAAACCAGATTGCAAAGAGTTATGGATATTCTGGTGGGGAGACGAACCCAACCTAGTGGGTGTAATACATCATGAACTGCAGGGTAAGCTTTTTGTTTTTTCTTAAAAACTGTTAGCATCATATATATTTCTTAATAGTAGTAAATTTCAAAAAGAATTTATTAAGACTTGCTGAGAAAAATCCAGTTGTTTAATGTGTGTCTCTCAAAAGGAAGGTCCTCACTCTTACCCCTCTTCTTTCTGTGTCCCCTTCCCCCCAGATCTCTTGTTCTTTCCCAGTCATGCTAGGAACCAGAACCTGTGAACCACTGTTTCAAAAGGAAATATTGTGTCTCCTAGATGTTTTGGGGGTGGAAACGAGGCAAGATCCACTGTTTTAAAGTGATAGTGAATTGTGAGTAATTAGCAAGTCAGTGAAAAAACAGAATTGTTTTTTCTTGGATTGTGGCTGTTGTGGTTCATTACCAGCTGAACTCTGGTGGAAAATTATAAAGTGATAATAGAAAGTTAGTACAAGTCTTACTGGACAAAATTATGAGAGGACATCGGATAGTATTCTGAAGAAAGATTAATATAAAGAATTTGGTATAATTTTGATATGGCAAGTTTTCCTTTGTTTTGTTTCTGCATTTTATATAATTAGGTGATTCCAGAAAATACTTGGTCCAGTGTTGCTTAATTTTTAACTTCAGATTACATCTGATATCTGGAAACTTTGAATTAATACAAGAGTTTCATTATTCTAAGTTACTTTTGGTATTTACCACAGATTTATAACCATTGGAAACGTTATTAATATTCTTGAATGCTCAAAATTTTTTACTTCTTTACCTAAATGTTTCCATCTAGCATGCTAAAGAACTTTTCTAAATCAAGATTAGTTACAGTCCTTAGGGTAGTACGTTAATCTTCCTGACCTAAGTTTCCTAGAGCCAACTTTTATTATGTCCAAACTAGTCTGTATTTTGTTAGTGTGTGATTGAAAAAGCTCAGATAGCATTTGAAATGTTTTGTTAGTTGATATATTTAGTATTTTTTTTTAAAGGCAGGAGTAAAACTAACTTTATATTTGAGGGCCCGTTCTAAGGTGTTTGAATTTGCCTAAAGGATTTCCTGCCAACTTTTGCTTGATACTTTCCTAGCTTTCCTTTGCAGCCGTTTTTTAAAAATCTGTGATATCCCGGGCCACAACAGCCAGAGGGCAGTAAACCTCAGTGGACTAATTAGCTGTTTACCTTATGGTCCATTTGTCTATTCAACACAAACCTTTCTTTCCATAGTTTGTAGAATATTTGGTTTATAAATATAAGAACGCTGTCTGGGTAAGATTGCTTACTTAGCTGGTTAATCAGCAGACTATCAGAACTTACATACATATCAAAGCGTATTTCATGTAGTTAGCAAGGAACTCAGGTAAAATTAGTTTAACTGCATCTGGATTCCATTTATCAGGGTTTTTAAAATAAGATACCCCTAGAAGATAATTATAACATCTATGTTTGTCCATTTAAGTATCAAAACATATATTTTTGTTCTAAAATTTTTTACACATGTAGTAGAGGAATAGAGCATTTTTGTTTGTTCATCCTTTATTTCTCATGATTCTGATTCTTAATCTCCTTCCATTTCTCTACTCCATATTGATACCGAATGTTTTAACTTTTTGGTCTGGTCTTTATTTGTTAGCAGCACAAATTATCACTTTATAATAATGATGAAACCAAACCCAAATTTACCTGATGTATAAAGTTATTTCTCCATACCAACAAAGTGCATAATCAGTGTTCTTAGAATTAAGTTACTGTGTTATTTCTCATGGACTTTGTTACTGAGTTAACAAAAAGATGAAGGCTATTTAAAATTTTTATAGTTGCTTTATTTATTTTTTTATAGTTGCTTTATATTTCATTGATGTATTGAGTATTTTTTTGGTAAAGAATAAGGAAAGATCGACTTTTTTTTGAACTGTTTTTTACAAAACACAGAAATACTACATTTTAATTAGAAAATTAGGAAAACGCAACTGTCAAGTGAAGAGAACAAAAATCCTGATGTCTAAAACAGTTTTTTTTTTTTTTTTAAGATTTTATTTATTTATTTGACAGAGGTCACAAGTAGTAGGCAGACAGAGAGAGAGGAGGAAGCAGGCTCCCCATGGAGCAGAGAGCCCGATGTGGGGCTTGATCCCAGGACCCTGGGATCATGACCTGAGCCGAAGGCAGAGGTTTTAACCCACTGAACCACCCAGGCGCCCCTAAAACAGTTTTAATATTTGGTATTTTTATGTATAAATGGAATTGATATTATACTGTTTTGTAATTCCATTTTTTTTAATCTGACAATATATTGTGAATGATTTCTCATGAGAATGATTATTTTTTATTTTTATTGAGTCTGAAAACAGTGTATGCTGTTTATTCTCTTGTGTGCCACCAGGAAAGTAATCCAGTGATGGAACAGTCATAACTTTGTTAAGTATGTCTGTTCTCTTTGATATGTTGAATTGGGGAAAGTTACTGGATTAAAGTAAAGCCTGTGAAGTGTCCATTCCATACGTAAAAGTGGTTGGAAAAGGTAATTTTATATGGTTCAACCTAATATGAGAAAGTATTTGAACTTAATTAGAAAAATGAGTGGCATAAGGATAACTTTGTATGATAGGTAGAGTGATCATGAGAAAAAGATACAAAGAAATATTTTAATTGGTGGTCATATTAAGTGAGGATATTTTGAAATCTGTTTTGATCTTTAATATATGTAAGAGTGATTTCATTTTAGGTAAAATAAATTTTAACAGAACCCTGTAAACATTAAGCGTGATGGTACCATTACTGTAACATTTTCTTTTCATAGGGACATTTTACTATTTCTTAAAATCCTTGGTAGTTCCCTAGTTTTTCCAATGTACCCAAAATGGGATACTACTAAGAAGCCTCACTGTAATACAACACCAAAGCAACCATCTTTGATTTAATGTGTAAAGTATCCTCATAGAAAGAGAACAACTCTGCAGGATAGACACACAAGTTTAGTTTTGAGATACTAGATTTTTTTTTGTTAATTGCTTGAAGTATCTATGAAATAGTCAGAGGGAGCACTTAAATACCTTTATAGTCTGTCCCTGTCACTTAGATAAACACTTTTGGGCCTGTGCCTGGAGAATTGCTATTTATCTTGCCTAGTATATTGCTATTTATCTGGCATAGTAGTTCAGAGCATGGGGTGGGTTTGAATCCCTGCTCAGTTGCTGCTGGCTGTGTATCGTTGATCAAGTAACTTGTCCTTGCCTCACTTTCCTCACTGTAAATTGGGTTATAGAGATAAGAAAAGTTAGAAGTTCTTAGACTAGCACAGAGAACAGTTCATCTAATTGTGACTGTTGCTGTTGCTACTACATTGACAACTCATTCAACAAAATTAAAACACCTTGACAGTTTTTAATGATTGTTCTGTAGAACATTCAGTGCTTGCTAAAGTTCCTCAAATACTAACTTTGGGGGCCCCTGCGTGGCTCAGTCGGTTAAGCATCTGCCTTCGGCTTAGGTCATGATCCCAGGGTCCCAGGATTGAGGCCCGCATCAGTCTCCCTGCTTGGTGGGGAGCTTTCTTCTTCCACTCCCTCTCCCTCTGCTGCTCCCTCTGCTTCTCCCTCTGCTTATGCTTGCTCTGTCTCTGTCAAATAAAGAAATAAAAATCTTATGGTAAAAATACTAACTTTTAAAGTATTACACTTTTGGGTTGGAGTGATCAGATTTTTGAGTTTGAGTTTTAAAATTTGGGTAGAGTAAGAGAATAATAAAATGTCAGAGCAGCAAAGATATTCCTCCCTCTACATAGGACAATTGTGTAGACTTCTGCTATACATAGTTTCATAATAAACCTTAGATGGCATTATGAAGAGATCAGAACTTTAAAATGTGTCTGTTGGATCTCTGCAAGGTAGGTTTGTAACTTTACTGGCTTCTCCACATAATGGTGTTGAGGCAGGCCACTGGCTGAACACAAACATGTGCATGTCCTTCCTTGTGTCCATCCATGAGTACCCGTATCTGTGGGTCCAGTTACAGTGTTTGGATGTAATCTCTACCCTTGAAATGTTGAGAGTCTAAAAAGGGTGTAAGGCAAGCACAAGACAATATGTACAGTGCAGAGAGACACTGAAAGTCTGTGTGAGAGAAATGTACTAGATTGACTGCTTTCCCAATGGGCAGACATTCAGTTGTAGGACCAACGCACAAATGTTTTATAAACTTAGAATAGGAACACTGACAGCCCTAGTGCCAAGGGTTGATAACCTTCTTGGTTTCTGGTCTGTTTTGTTCAAATTCTAACATTAGGCAAGAGCTGTGATCAGTCCTGGGTATGTAAAATGACTCCTTATACTTGAGGAGCTCACAGTCTTATGGGGGGGGGGAGCTAAATGAATCCATAATTATGCTACAATGAAGTAAGCTGTAACTGGTTAAGTTATAGGATTTTGCACAAGCATCAGATTCAGTCTTGGGAAACAGGATAGGGAGATGATGGGAAGCCCAGAGGCTTGAGGTGCATCTTATTGGATGGAGCTACCTAGGTTGGGATGGAACTTGTTCTTGTTAGAGGAAGTAGCCTGTACAAAGGTCCTGCTGGCAGTGCACAAATGGTGTGAAGAGCAGGTTTGTCTGGAGCTTAGACTATCAGTGAAATAGTGAGGAGAGACTGAAAGACCGGGAAGGTGGGCCCTAATGAGTGCACTGAAGTAAGGATGAGTAATTTGCACCGAATTTGATAGATTTTGAGGAATTGTTACAGATTTCTGATCAGGAAAGTTTCAGACATTATTAGGAAGATAATATAGAAGATGAGTATGAGCAGGAAGGCAATAATACTGTAATAAATTATTCTGAATTGAGCTATGAACTTAAACATTCTCCTCAGTTTAAGGTACAGATTTATTTAAGTTAAAAAATACCAATGATTACACACTGAACTTTTTATTAATAGTCTTTGCCAATTTTATTTTATTATACCTTTGTTCATTTTGCTTGACTAAATTCTTTTGCATTTTTTCAGTTTGAATTTTAGCGATTGATATAATACACCAAACTGACTTTTCCAAATGCACCAAACAAAATTATTTTATGAACACAATCTTCTGGCCATTTGATTGGTTATTAGTAAGTGGTGGGAAAGATATGCTATCTTAAAACCCCAAAATGGTACAGTGGGCAAATACAGGCTTCTAGGAACTAAAGATGGCTTGACCCAAAGCATTGAGTCCCTGGTCCAGAAGGACAAGTATTTTATATATATGGCCTAGTATGTGCTTAGTAACGCTTGTTGAATGAGTGAATGAATGAAACCCATCTTACATATTTCTAACATAGAACAGTATTGTACTCTCAGAAGGTTAACTTAAAATAAATACACTTAAAACATTTAATAATTTGATATTGTGAGGAGATTGAAACCTAATTAAAAATAAGGCATTAAATATCCATTTTATTTTGTGTATGTTCTATAAAGAAACCAAGCTATAGATATGCAGTCTGTAATTTTAAAATTTATCTGTGCTATCTCTTTTCCTTTTGATTATTACAGGTAGACAGATGTAAATTAGAATAGGGATACATCTGTCTACCTCTAAAAATTGCCCCAGCGTGTTGGAAGCCTTAGGAATTGGCTCCATTGTCAGTGTAGAGGCAGAGTGGCAGTTACTACCTTTTGTTGCATTTATAGTCATGAGTATTGGTTTTTTATTTTTCAGAGTGCTGCCACCTATGCCAGGAGGTATGGGCAATTGCAAAAAAGCATTAGACATTAGAGAACTAGGAAAGAGGGATCTTGTTTTCTAGTAGTGACGGGTGTAAGATAATTTAAGACACGCTAACACTGTTGCATATACCACCGAACTGCAAGCCTCTGGAAAGAGAAGTGAGCATTTTGTAAGGATGGAGGAAGGCTGAGAGAAGAGAATGGAGAGCCAGTTTGCTAGTACTATAATGTGTATATATAGATTAAAATGTATATAATCTGAAATGATTGTTATAACCTTCGTTTAGCTATCTCCAAGACAGAACCTAGTTCCCTCCTCAGCTTTTTTTTTTTTTTGAAAAATATTGATGGGTATACACACACATAACTTTTTTTCTGGCTAAACCATTTTATAGGTAATTTCTAGACTTCATGAATCTTCACCCCTAAATACTTGATTATGTAACTTCTGTGAGAATGTAGGATATTTTCAGTGATACTGATGTAATTTGTTGTCCTGTCAAATTTTTCATATTCTGAATTTGTCTGTTTCCTCATGATTAGATTCAGGTTAAACATTTTTGACAAGAATATTGAGTAGGTGATGAGTATTTCTGTGCCATCCCATCAAAGGCACATGTCAATTTGTCTCAATATTGATCTTGTTAACTTTGATTACTTAGTGTCCACCAGATTTTTCCTGTGTAAAGGAAAAATCTGGTGGACACCCTTTTCTTTCTGTAATTATTAGGTAAATCAGGGGTGAGACTTCGAGACAGTGAATATTCTTTTCCCTAGCCCACTTTTCACTCTGACTTGAGGAGAAACCTGACTTTGAGCTATTAGAAACAACAGAGATCAAATGAAGACTACATTCCCAAGTAACAGGAAAGGTAGGGGAACAGAGGAGAGGAGAAAGAAGAAAAACATGGGATATCTAACCAAGGCAGATTATGACGGTAAAGTGAAACTCTGAAAAGTGTTGATGTTAAATTTTCTAAAATCATAGTTAAGTATACAGGAATATACTATTATATTTTATAGTCTGTGAATTTTCAGTTGAATTTTGGTTTATGGTTATCTTTGACAAAATGAAATCATTTTAGTCAACACTGTGAATGGCTTTATTCTCAATTGAAAAAAATTACTTTTTGTGAAAGTAGTGATCCTTTTACATATAAAACTCACAGGAGTGAAGTTATCTCTAGGCAGAATGTTCAGTTTCAGAGCTTCTTCTTCTAAAGAGATTATCCGATCCCTGACTTTTTCACCTGGTTTTATATATATATTTTTCCCATTATTGGTGGTCAGTTTATGATTCATTGAAATTGATCTCTGATTAAATTAGAAAAGAATTCTTTTTGGAATTTATTGTTTGGATTTATTTATTTTTCAAGTATAAGATTCTGGTGAATTTTTCTGCAGCATTCTAGATTTGTAGTATTTTACCTATTAACATTTATATGGAGATTTTATTACATGGCGTTAATTCTTGAGATTAACACTGCATTGCTGAAAAGTGAATTTTACTTTAATTTTCATATTTGTTGTTATTATGTAAATAGTAATAGAAGAATACATTTGTATTTCGTGAGAACAAGCACTTTTACTTAGTGGAAAATGATAGCTATTTCTAAATAGTTTATGAACTAAGTATTCCTAGTTCTCACTGGATCTAAATTATTCAACTCTTGATAAAAAATTTCTGACTTTTAAAATAGTTACACTGTGTTTTGTTTTCTTATGTGTAGTTTTAAAAGAATTCCTTTTCTAAAGCATAAAATACTAATAGTTTTCATTGATGATTATCCAAATGATTCCAGTGTGTATTTAACTGAAATAATAGATTTAACAGAAAGTCATAAGTTTCTCATAAAAGAGAAAATGGAATACTTATTAATACTTTTGTAAGCAACACATTTATATTGTAAAGTTATCGTACAATTCAGAATTCTTTCATATGAAGAATAGGAAAAGATCTAATGGATTAGATAGAATTATTAAGCTAGGCGTGCTTGCAATTGAGAGAACAAGCTAAAGTCTAACTGTGGAATGTAAATAAAATCGATGTGTTACCACAGGCAACTTACTGAACCGTGTAATTAGCTTTTTCTATGAAAAATGAGACATTTATACTGAAATTGTGGTGAAATAATATGTAAAGGGCTTATGTTCTAATGATATGAAAATTAAACAGTTGGTAAAAAATTATAATTTAAAGATTGCTGCTTCAGGGAAAAGTTTAATCAGTTGGTTTTTAGGGGGGGGATTTATGTTTTGGTAAGTTAAAGGCATTACAATCCAATATTTTTGCATTGATACGAAGTGTCCTACTTGTATAAAGTAAACTTGAGTAAAACCCCCACTAATGAAGGATTAAAGTTACCACTTGAACAAGTAGGATTGAAAATTAACCTGAAATTAGAGAAACCATTATTTAGTGTATTATAGTTTTTTCCCTCCTTTATATGTAAGTAATTTTAGTGATGAATATATTGTGACTGATACAAAAGTATTTAGGCTAGTAATTTTAAGGATAGCTTATTTGATACACACTCCCTTTGTTTACGTTGTACTTCAAAGTTTTATTCCTTAAAAGAAAATTAAAAGATTTAGGAGAGGTTCTTGTACATTAAAGTGGTATAAAGATTTCTTTGCCTCATAATATAATTTCTTTGTTATCTCTTTTTTTTAAGGGACGTTAACATAAGGACATGAATGTAGCAAATTGAGAAAAAGTTTAGCTATGAGTAGAATTTAATGGCCTAATTAATTCCAGAAAACATTACATATTTGAACATTAGAATTGAATGAGGTAGAGATACAAAATTATCTATCTAGAGAACAACACCTTTGCTGCAGAATTTATAAGCAAATACATTACTGACATGAATTTACAAGGAAATTCATTGCTGACCCATTCAGATGGCATCATGTCAGTTTTACTGTTTAGTATTTTACATAGGAGATGAAGTAAAAAGACCCTCCAGTGAAATTGGGCTTTTCTAATAAGGAAGAAGGTGAGAATGGATCTCCTAGGTCATCACTGGGAGGATTCAGAGAATGTCCTCTTCCATTTATGCTGTTGAAATTAGTATAGGCAGAAGGAAACTGAAGCTTAGAAAATGCCTGTGAGTGACTTCCTCATGTCACTCATTATGGTAGAATCCAGCCCCATATGTTGTACCTTTCAAAATCAAACCCATTATTTGGTTGCAGAGCTATATATAACGTGAAACTATGTGATTGTGCCATATAAAATGAGTCAGTCAAGTTTCCCAAACCATTTTAAATAAAACCCACATAACTGTTCCAATTCTATTTATATCAACTCAGATCTATTTCCTGTACTTACAGAAAGAATGCTGGCTTGCATAATACTGGACAGAGGACCTATCTTTTTTGATTTAAATATTTTCTGTGACACGTGGCAAATGTTGGTTCCAGTAATGTCAGCTCATAAACATTTAGTCTAGGTCCTCTTAACTGAGCACACACTAAAGATAAAGGGAAAATAAAAATAGTTTCAGAGTCATAAAAATTTGACATGAATATAAGCCATTTGAATAGTTTATTAGATTTAGTTTATTAGATTAGCAGTTTGCTGTTATAAAATATCTTAACTGAAGTAACTGAAACAGTTTTGTTTCTGTTGTCATTAAGAGGTGTTCCCCCCCCTTCTTATAGATCTATTATCATAGGTATGTATTTTGAAAAATCACAGTAAAAGAACATGTTAACTATTGGAGGAAGCAGGAGGTGGTTGCTGAGGCTACCATTTAATTATTTTGGACCTGTTCAAAGTGTGGTAGACTAAACCAATTTATGTTGGGACTAACATTCATGAATAATTGTTTGAAAAAGTATTTACAAATGGTTTCTATTTTGTTTTGTTTTAGAATGTTTGAGCAAATGGCAGCTAGAACTTGGTGTAGTCTACTCAGCAATGCGTATCACTGGAAACTAAGATTTTTTTATGCTTTTAAAAGAATATTGTAATGGTTGAAATAATACATAAATATGCTGCTTCTCCCCCATCCCAAAAGTTCCCAACAGTTTGGCAGTCTCTTTTAAGTATTAGAGAATTATGAAATTAGACTGTGTAGCTCTTATTTTGTGACTGATGCTGTCCTGGTACTACCTGAATTGATGCTCATTGAATATCATTATGGCTAGCAAGTGTTCGATAATTTCCTTTAGAGCTCCATCTGTGTAAATATTTTTGAACAATTTTCTCCAAGTACTGGGCCACATACCTATTTCTTATAAACCCGACATTGATAAAATGCACTCTTTGTATAATTGGGTCTTGTTTTGATACTGGCTCTTTCATATTGTGATTTGGCAGTGAGTTCAACAGAGTAAGCATTATCCTCTTGAGACCCATCTAGGATTGAACTAAAGGGCTTCTACAATACCCACATGATCATACAATTAGTTTTTTTTTTTTTTTTTAATTTTTTAAAAAAATGCTGTGATAGTGTAACTGAGTATGAGCTGGTTGCCAGGGTATTGTGGCAGAATAATACCCTGCAGTTTGTAGTTAATCATGCAGCAGAACTGCCTTGATTAAAAAAAAAAAATTAAGAATAAGATAAAAATTGGATGAAGACAAAGTATCTTTGTGTTGAAAAAGATTGGATGTATAAAATGGTAAAGGGAAGGTTAGAGCATTCACAAATCTGTTATTGGAAACTTTGTCTTCCTACTTAATATAATATCATATGTAAAATATCTGCCATTAAAAAAATACTTTTGCTTATGGCTTTGCTACCCTTGGGGCAGATAAGACTTCTTGGTAATCTTGAAGGCTTACTTTCTGACACCATTAGGAAATACTCAAGTATCTGTAGAATGACTCCCTGAAACCGGAAGTGTGAAGGACCTCATCAAGATGAGGTTTCTTCGTTAAGATTGTTTTGTTTTTTTTCACAGGTAATCTTGGGCTTATTTAAACATAAGCAAAAATTTAATGTTTGCTCTTTATAAGAGGGCATGTTATTTATATTGAAACGTAGGTAGTCTGAATTAGAAAAATTCAGATACTCTCAGGTCGGTATTAGGCACTATATTTTTAACTTATTTTAAAAGTCACCTAGTAGATAGTAATAGTGGAAAGGACGTCTGCTTTGACATCCTTGGAAGAAAACTATATGCAACTCTGATTGTTTAGGGAAGAAATAACATTTGTTGACAGTGACTCTATTATGGAAAAATTTATCATGCCATTTACTGGTTTCATGAAGAGTGTAACAAAGACGGGCTCTTGATTTGAGTAGCAGACTTGGCTGGGACAATTATCCCCATTGCTAAAGGAAAGGCTTCATTAAGCAGAACTCAGTTAGCCAAAGCCCTCAAACACATTTGAATATATATCCCCCTGGCCCCCAACCCATCCTCAGTAAGCACGCAACCATTTTATAAAAAAAGGTTAAATGACTTAACCATAGTATTATCAGTGATTAGCCCAGATATGCATAGATAGCATTCTGATTCCCAGTATGATTGAGGCAGTGAGCTAGAAGATCCTCAGGGGGCAAGAACATTTTGACGGAATGCCCTGAGGTCCTACTGATTCAACTCAATTGCCCACACATTAAAATTTATAGTATTGTCTAATAGTGATAAAATAATATATGAGAAGATGTTTTAAAATCATTCTTTGAGCTTTATAAACATAAACTGTTATCTCTATTTAATCTTTAATATTTACGGTTACCACCATGTATTTATCCAACAGATTTTTATTGAGACTGCATTCTCTTAGGTGCTGCTCAGAATACAGAAATGAATCAGAAACATACTCTGGTTTTTTAGAAGCTAACAAATAGGGGAGCTAGCATTTGTACATGGGGTATTAGTTACAGATGTCCTAAGAGGGGCCACACAGTATTTTTTCAGTTACAGAAGGAGGCAGGGCCTTGATGAAGAGTTAATTCTTGAGCTGAGCCTTAAAGAATGGGTAGGATTTTGGTATTTGGACATACGGCTATGTTAGGGCAAGCACACTTCATGTATATGGAATTGCATATGTAAGGATGTAGAGAGGAAAGTTTGGAATATCTATTTGGGAAGAGTTAAAGATGAGAAGTTGATTGAAAATGGATATTTATGCCTAAAACGTAGGCCAATGAGTTTGGGCTTCATAGACAGTTGGGTTTTTTGAGAGTTTTTGAATAGGACTGGAGGGAAGGCCCTCTGTAGGCTGCATGGCAGGCAGGACCTGCATCTGACTCTTGCTTATAGTTGTAATTCTGGGACCAGCACAATTCCTGACACATATTTGTTGTGAATAAATTAACGAGTAAATGAATGAGTATAATAGGAGTTTGTGTAGACTATCAATCTTTCATCATTGACTACTCCTAGGTCCTCCTAGTATTTTGGATCACAAAAGAGAACAGGCTGTTGTTGAGAAGACTGTTTTAAAGAACACCTACGCAGCACCTGGGTGGCTCAGTGGATTAAACCTCTGTCTTCCAGCTCAGGTCATGATCTCAGGGTCCTGGGATCGAGTCCCGAATGGGGCTCTCTGCTCAGTGGGGAGCCTGCTTTCCTCTCTCTCTCTTCTGCCTGCCTCTCTGCCTACTTGTGATCTCTGTCAAATAAATAAATAAAATCTTGAAAAAAAAATAAAGAACACATAACGACTGCATATGTGAAAGGTTTTTTTTTTGTTTCATTGATTTAACTGTATATTGGAAAGACAGTGATACAGTTTTCTTCCTTTTTTTTGCAGCTTCCTATTTTTTATAGTCTGCAGTTTAGTTTTGAAAGTTTTTATTAAAATTTATTGACTAATTTTCCATAAATTATTTCCATTAGTGTTGTAGATAGCAAGTAGTTGGGACAGTTAGCAAAAAGCTTGTGTTCTAATTGTCTTGTAGAACAGAAGCTGTGGGAGGGTCCTATTAAATGGGTTAAAGTGCTTAATGGTATTTCTGTGTCAGAAGCCTTGTTAACTTATAAATACATCATGGATTGAATGACCTTGGGTGTCCTACATATGTTATAAATTGCCAGTTCAACATTAGAGTTGATATTTGCTACATAGAAAAAATTAGCTAACATTGTTCTGCTGGGCTCTCTCTGGAAATTGCACATTTTCAGTATAGAATCCAACTGACTGAAAGCTTTCATTGAGCTTTCTTTCTCTCACCCTGAAATCCTGAATTAATTGCTAACTTTTTAAGATATGATGTCTATAGACTACTTGGTAAATTGAGATAAGTATATGATTTAAGTAAACATTTTCAATGAAATCCTTAATAGGCACTTTTTAGTGTTGGTATACGTCTTTTCTATTGTTGTAAAAGATAGCCTTTTGGTTCCATCAAATACTCTAAAATAGCAAATTAGTACTTTACCAATTCTGTAATTTTAAATGGCATTTCTCAAAGACTACTAAAAAAATCGATCTGTCTCTTCCAGAGATACTTGCAAACACACATATATACCTAAAGTAGCTTGAATTTCCTGTATTGGTTGAAATTTCCATTTGGCAACACATGGAATGCAGCCACATCTCCCAGAGGAGACTTGAAGAGTCTTTTCCATCATTAATGAATCACACTTTCTTGGCCAGGAACCATCTATCATTCTCTTTTTCCGTTTGTGACTTTACCTGGCATTCCGTGGAAGTATAGGTCATGGATTGTGGATTACTCCTTCCTGTTCACCCTTACTCACGTATCCAAAAATGGAACGAGGCCAGGAAGAAATTTACCACTCTTTAGTTATAGTTTACTTTTGAGAGGTAGAGATCATAATACAAGTATGTTAAGTTAACTAAAAATAAGGTGGAATGGTCATGCCATGCCTCCTGTTATATATGTCATCATAGACCACTTAAATTTGCTCGTCTTTTATTCTTATCTCTAATATGGGAATTACAGCTTTATTTTATGATACAACGTGAAGTGAATATGAAAAGCTCATAGATTTAAAGGCTGTGTAAATGCACTTCATAGTCATACTTTTTCTTTAATGAACCTCACTGTCAAACTATTTTAAATCTTCATGAATTTATTTTACAATTAAGTTTTGGCCATAATTTCTACCTGTGAATAAAAGTTGAATTCCTTTTCACTTGGCATTCATTGTCAATAGTAATTCAATTATATAATAGGTGTTTGATTTTTAAGAAAGTATCTTGTAACTGGTCATTTTCTGGCTTTGGCTATTCAGGGATGGTTGATAATATTAATGCCTTTCCTCATAAAGGGATTTTAGAATAAAAAACTAAAATTATGTTCCATGTTGTTTTAATAGGATTGTGGTCTAATCCTTGAAAATTATAGTGAGTGTATGGTATATGTTAATTATCAGTGGACCAGTTTTTTCGACTTTTTATTCACTATTACATATATAGAATTCGCAAGAATATTGGATTAACAAGGATTACTACTCCCATTCATGTCGCATGCTATAATAGGCCCCATTTCCCTTTCTACGTTTGTTTTTTTTTATTTGCAGAATAGTTTTTATTTATGCTTATTGTGCCTAATTTTATAGTAGCAATAAACTGAGAATAAATGATAGCTTGACATAGTCTGGGAACCAGACAAGAATCAAATATTTATAGTTCACTTGTTAGGTGTTAGGCGTCATGCTGGGGGCTTGGTGATCAGTCTTGCACTTGAAAGTAGTTTTGAATTTATTCTTTTGGAATTTCAACTTAAATGATTTACAGGGAAATATGTAAGATTCTGATTTGTTTTTGCACCTTGTTTTGTGTTTATTAAATTCATTTTCATATGGCATGTTGGACAGATTTAGTAGATATGAAATACCAGCCTTTGCCATCTTGAGATTGTTAATTTAACTGGTTGAACACTAGAGGGACTGCAGACTAATCACCGGCTTTTTAGTTCAGTAGTATATTAGTTGGGATGCTTTATTTAAACAGTGGAGCTACACAGCTTTTTCCAGCTTTTTAGTTTTCCCAGGGTTAGGTATTGTGCCGCCAAATTTATCTGGTCACTTATTTTGGTTAATTCTCAAGTGTAGGGACTATAAAATTTAAACTCTGCCACTTTAGGTATATCAACACAGAAGACTTTTCGTTGGTTATGGACTCTTTTTAAGCTCAGTTTGTGTATTTAGATGTCCTGCTGAAAGAAATGGGAAATCTGGGAGTGGGTTGTATAAACAATGAGTTCCCAGCTTTCTCTTGGAAATCTGTGAGTATGGAACATAGCATTTGGGAAAAGTGAATATTCATTGGAACCTTAGTTCAGATTAATATTTTATGGAGATTTGCAACGATTTTATGATTATTGGGTATGAATTTTGTGAGAAGATTTATTAGGTATAATAGCACAAACAAGGTAAGATAATCTATACTTTTAGTCCAGGTGTTAGTTTTAGAGATAAATTTGCTGTTTCACACAAAAGCTGTTTGGCAACTGAGCTTAATTAGATAAGAACTTTCTGGAATTAGGTCTTAGGCATTAAAATGTTGAACATTTCTTGAAAAAACACTTTACTCTCAATTTTGCCTAGAAATGGTGTAAATTTTAAATTACAAAAATTTAAGTTAATATGTATACAATAGATGAGTGCTTCTGGAAGTGTGGTTTGATGATTGTGGGGATTTTAATCGAGGTCACATTAGGAACATACAAAAACGAAATCAATCTTTATGTATCTCTTTATAAAGAAATCCTAAAGATCACTTAGAGATGCATAGGATGAGATGGATATAGAATTCATTATTTTCTTCTGAAATGAATTTATTTCCTTATTTTTATATATTATAGTACTAATCTATCAAGCTTGCCCCCTGAATCATTTGTTATAATACTAGAACACTGGCAAGAATAATATCTGCCTTTACCTTTGTTTGCTAGATTTTTAAAATATGGCAGAAATATTATTACATAAAGGTAATTTTAAGCTTAATTCTTCATGTTTATGAGAATTTCCTCTGTATTTCATTTTCCTCAATTACATATTTTTAAAACTCAGTATAAATTAAAAATAAGTTCAGTAAGGTATAGGAAAAGAAAAATTTAAATGTCCATCTCTTTATTATTGATAATCTGTCTGCTTCCAGAATATTTTTGAACTAAAATGATTTGTGGAATTGGCTTTTATAATTTAAATATCCCTTGACACTAACTTGTAAGAACTATGATAATCAGTTAAAGTATACATTTGGTTA